ATTGGGGGGGAATGGGCCGGTTCCTCTCTTCGCTTTCTTTGTTGCACTTTCGTTGTTGTTTTCGGGTGTTTCCCCCCTTTTTTTGTAAAATAAAAAACAGTAAAGCTACGTTCTTCTCTCAATTCCTACTACCGTCTCCAAAAGGTTATTGTCTTATGATTCGATATCTATGAAATAAAGATGCATTCTTCCATGCCATTTTCCTTGGAAATGGCTATTTAGTATTAGGCAACCAAGGTTAGTGACTCCAAGACTGCTCTGCCTTTTCCCTTTCCAAGGATGAGCAGTTGTCGAATCCGAATCCGAGGAAGTATACTTTTTGAAAGTCCTTTCCTCAGCTCCGCTCCAGTTGCGGGCACATAATTTTTTTATCTTTTTCTTTTTTTTTGGATAGTAAGATAAGACCTAATTAATTGGTGAAACCATTAGGGCAAGGGGCGACGTGCTATGTCCCCATGACTGTGAGAGGTAGCTATGCTCGCAGGGGTATCATCCTGCATATAGCCTTAGGAGAGTCGTAGTGGTAGGCAGGTAGTGAAAGGGGAATTGAGGGAAGAATAAAATATACTATACAGTAATATATAGCTTGAAGAAGGAGAAAAAAGAACAATCTTGTTTTTAGGTCTCCTCCGGATGGGGGAACACAATTTTTGTCTTTTTTCAAATTTTTGGTGAGTGGGCGGTCCTCTTGGGGAAGGGATGAATTCGCGTTTCGGTGGTTCGGAAAGCAAGGGACTACCGTCGTCACCGAAATTGAACGCCCGCTCATTATCGCTCGCTGTGTATCTAGACCGCCGAAACTGTCCGCCGAAAATGACCGGGGGATTTCCATCTGTGTGAAGGCGGTACCGTGGAGGCGCGAGAAGGGTCCGTTCATGTCGTGATTCAATGCACGCACGAGCTGTGTTCATGGGAGGGGATATACGTAAGTCATGAAATCGTGCAAGTCGTAAGCTATTGATGAAATCAGACGGTCGTGCGGTCGAACTTTTTGGTTGGAAATCAGACGATATGTATGATATTACGGACTGCATCCTAAAGAAGGAAAA